CGCCTCGCATGGTGTGGCTGGAGTCGACGGGCGAGGCGGTGTTCAACGCCACGCTGCCGGGCGCCTCCTTCAGCACGTCCGGCCTCAGACCCGACCACCGCTACTTGGTCTCCGTCACGGCCGTCAACGCCCGCGGCGCCGCACGCCCACACCAGCTCCGGTTCCACACTCTCAAGCAAGTCACAGAGCACTTGAGTGAGTTCGCCTTTCCTTAATGTGGACTTAGCCCTGGTATGCATGTACGCATGCAAGGCTACATGTGCACGTAGCTTTTTATCTACTCGTCTCTCACAAACCTCTCTCTCTCTTTCACTGTGTACACATACACATACATTCATAAGTAATTGAGTGTGTATATTTGTATATATATATATATTTATATATATATATATATATATATATATATATATATATATATATATATATATAATATATATATATATATATATATAATATATATATATATACAACACACACACACACACACACACACACCACACCACACACACACACACACACACACACTACACACACACACCACGACATATAATTATAAGGTATTATTATATGTTATATATAGATATCATATATATATGATATAGTGTGTGTTGTGATGTGGTGCTGTGGAGATAAGACGGATGGATAAGCGTGGTGTGAAGAGATTAAGTAATTATTAATGAATTACATATATATTATATAACATAATAATATATTAAATTTAGTATATTTGTATTGAATAATCGTTGTGTGATCTGATATATATATTATTAATGGTTAGTAGTGTATATATATATATATATATCGGGTGAATATATATATATATACTGATATATATTATATATATATAGTGTGTATTATATATATTACATATATGTTACCACCACACACACGCATCACGGATCACACACAACATCACACACAGACACACACAACATCACACACCACACACACACAACACACTACATACACACACACACACGCGAGCGGGGGGTAGGCGGACGACTGGGACACACACGAACATACAATATATTAGTGGTGGGTGATGCGGTTTATAGTATAGGTATGTATATGGTATATTAGAACATGTGGATAGTATATTGAGGAGTTATAAATATGAGAATAATTATATATTATATATATAATATGAATGTGGTGATGGTGAGGTAGTGATGAGTGTGATGGGACGAAAAGTGTGTGTAGTATGTTGTACTGATTTTTGTTATGTGGTTAGATGATAGAGAGTGTGAAACTAATGATAAGAGACGTGATATATAAATATATATATATATATATTATATATATATATATTATTATATATATATACTCCAGCCGCGGCATATAGTATATGTATGGTAGTAATATGCAGGTATATGTATAGTAATATAAACAGCACACAGCACACGCACAGCACACACACACAACACACGAGCACACATCACAGCACGACACACACCGAAAAAGCAGACACCTATATTTACAGAGAAGTTATAGTAATGATGAAGGAAATATATGGTAGTTAATATATATATAGATATAAGTAAGTTAGTGAATGGATATAGTATTAATACATAATAATGTTAATGTTTATATTAATGTAAATATCCAGAGCGTGTGGTAGCATAGATGATAGTTTTATTGTTATTTTAACCTTTTATGTCCACATCAATTTTAAGTGAATTATGAAGTTTAACGTAAAATTAATAACCATCATTATGTGTTCAAATATGTAATATATAAACTCCAGAATGGCATTATAATATTATATTACTTCACTACCTAATAGCAACACTAACCAACAACGTCTTAACCTAATTTTGACAGCGCCTTAGTATTTAGCCTTTTTAATCGGATACTATTTGCTTATACTAGCAGGCAAGTGATATTATAATTCATATAACTCCTGAAATTTAATATAATATTTCAATATCTCAAATCTATATACCGTTCTAAGTACTCATGAGCAGTATTATCAAAATAGTTACTCATCTATTCACCTAATACATGTTAATAGTACACTAGGATTACCGCTCCGGACCACGCATATATAACCGCTTCATTAAATGAGAGGGATTCAGTCAGTACCAGCTTATGTAAAATAGATTTATCATACTTATAAGAATATATAGAATCATAAAACTGGGTTATCATCTATTATTAATAGTAGGTAGATGGTCATTTATATACTAATTTATGCAACTCACTAACTCTCCTACGCTGTCTAATTCGTACTCGACAGATTGAGCCTTATGGTAGCTCAATATTACAGAAGTATTATGCTAATAACTTCAGTGTACTATCGTTATAAGTTGGACTAGCACATTGAATTATATTAGTCTAAAAAGTATAGGTTGCAGCTATAGCACCTATTAGGATTTTTTGTTATATATGATCACTCGACATAATTCCTATCTCCGTCCGTATCTTTCAGTCCTCGCCTCTACTCCCTTCGCTGACTCTCCGCCCGCTCCTACGCCTTTGCCGATATGATAGGGAATTGATCCGCACATAGAGTCGCGTGCCTCTGAACCTACCTCGGTTCATTAAGTTTCGCGCTAGTTCGTAATGTGTACTCATTCTCTGAGTCTGACCGTCACATGATTCTAATACACGAGTTATACTGATGGTGTCTCGATGTTTGCTGAAGAAAGACTCCATATGGCATGACGTCAGCAGAAGCGGGTGAACGGCAATATTTGTTGTGCCTGCTTACAAGTTTCAAATGTTTGCTTATAGTGTTGCTTGCCTTTTTCTGCTGTGTTGCTCGAATGCTCTTAGGTTTTGGCCGATTTCACGCTTTTGCTTTCTTTCCCACGCCTTTATAGGTATATGTACATTTTGATGGGTTTGTAATCAAATTCAACTTACAATCGCCTATGCCTAGCGATAGTCATGGGCGATATTGTTCACAGCTCGATGACTTGCACTCAACTTTACGATAACCGGATTGACTTTCTTGATATGTTAGACATGTGTCACTCATCGATTTTTTGTCAATGGGTGCATCACATGGTGTAATAAAGCGTCTCTGAGGGAGGGGTAGAAAGACGGCGTGGTCCGAGGGCGTGTAGTGCACCAGTAGCTGTTACTTGAGGCACCGAGGGAAGCAGGGCGCGTAGGCGGAGGAGGGATGAGGCTGGGCGCCATTAGGACTGCAGGCAGGGGACGGAGAGAGAAGAGGAGAATAGAGCGCGTGACGTAGGGCCGTGGAAGCGTGGAGCGGGGACGTAGGCGAGTGAGGGACTTCGAGGATCGAACGACGCAGAAGTTGACGGCTATAGGGGCAGAGAGGGACAGGCCGTGAGTCGCGAGAGGCGCGAACTCTGGTACTCCTCACGCGACGAGGTTACTCTAGCGGGGAGCTGAGGTACGACTCGGCCAGAGGCCTGCGTCGCGAGCCTGAAGAGGAATGAAGACGCCGACGAGCGCGAGAGGTGAGCCACGCGCCTGCATCGCTGGGTGCTACAGATTACTCCGTGATGGACGAAGATTCGTCAGGCTACACCATGTACGAGGAGGAGTAGGGTAATGGACTTTCTCTGATCGTACTGAAGAGAGGGATTCGCAGCGACGACGCGCATAGCATTAGGTCCGCGAAGCTCGACATTCGCCCGTCCAGTGCGACGAGAAAGCCGCTCGCGTGAGACTGCCATCGTTGGCGAGAGACGCGGCGATTAATGGTTCCAAGACAGGCTGGATAGATAGCTAGGAGGGCGCGAGCGGAGGAAAAGTTACGGGTACGTAGTGATGGATTATAGACTGTGCATACGGTTCGATGTGCGACTTACCGATCTTCAAAATCTGGTGAGTATAGGTGTCTTGGATATGAATTTGAGTATTCCCATAATGCAATGCATGTAGTCCTTTTATGAGCGGTCCCTCGCTGCTTCTTTAATTCATTATCACACTTCTATATCGCCTATTTGCCGAGTAGGCATCCAGGACCCGTGTATTCTGAAAGAGAGGAGGGTTATCAGTATATTCTGTATACATTTAGCAGAGTGTGCGAAGATTTGTTCAAAGTATCTGAGGGGCGATTATGTTAGTTACGTAGAAGCTGTGGATCTAAATAGTGTCTTTATCGGGATAATATAAATAGAGTGGGCAGTACCTCCACGCTCGGGACTCAGTATGTACGCTGTGTAGGGTATTACTCATATTGTCACGGCGTCTTAATCGCGGGGATTGATGACCTGAGGGTGAGATAGTTATCTGCTTGCGGGGTTCATCCTTGATTAGTGCTTAGACACGGAAGGTAAGACCGCTAGCTGACTATCGCCACGAGTAGCGTGTACCTTAGGATTCATTGGGGTCGTGTCAATAAACCGATCCGGCTACCGGGCACATCTAGTGCTATACCGGAGAACAGCCTCCTCGCCTGCTGTGTCTCCTTCTGCTCCGCCTCCTCTTCTCAATTTTCTCCAATCTAACTCTCATCTCCTTGAGTGGACTTCTACTCTTTGTACTGGCTTATACACTAAGGTGTGACTCATCTAGTGTCTTCTCTGCTACTAGTGCTACTCTTCTCCATCTATGGTCCGACGCTCCTGTGACTTCTCGATGATTTCTCGAACGTCTGCATTTGCTCTCTACTCACTGATTAGATCTTCTGTCTACTTCGTATCTACTGCTTTCTGCTGCGTCTCATGCATCGATGAGGGCTGCCAGAATTGCATTCACGTCACTCTGGTCTTGGGACTTGTAGGACTGGACATGGCCTCTCTGAGTGATCAGTAGATCTGCGTGCAGCAAGAGTCTTCTGCGCTGGCACTCCGTCTCCTCCCCTGAAGGCCGCTCACGTCAGCCCCCTCTCTCTCGTCTCAGTCGTCTCTCTTGCGTAGCATTTAAGATGCTGCTTCGTTAACATGACGGTCTGGCGATTACCTCTCTCTCTCCTCTCCTCGCTCGGTCTCGTCATCGTGTCTACTCTCTCGTCTCTATTCTTCGTTCTCTCTTCGAATTTACTCATCACTCTAGCGATCGTCATCTGCTAACGTATCCCATCTCTCCTCGCCTACACTCCTCATTCTCCATTCCATGGACTATGTGCGTCAGTCATACGGATGCTCTCTCTCCCTCCTTTTGCTATCGGTCAATGCTCTCGTTCTCCTCTTTCCTTCTCAACATCGTCTACTGACTTCGCTCTCTCGCTCGCCCCCAAATTGTGTCGTCGGCTTCTAGCGTGTCTCGCGACCACTGATGTGTGTAGTGTGATGGAGTTTTTGTATGTCTGTGTCGATTTTTGTGGTGTGTGCGCTCTCGAGACCTTCGAAGAGACTGATAAAGAAAACTTCATTGTGAATTTTCTTTCAAGTTGAAGAGGTTCTCTTGCTATAGAAGATCTTGCCTATTTGTTGTGAAGGTGTGTAAATTCGATTGATGTTCATTTCCTCTCGAAGGTTGTGTATCTTAGCATGTCCTTTATTACTCATCATTACGTACTTCAGATGGTCGCGTACAGGTCTATGCTTTTTTTGCATGCTGATCGTCTGACGATTTTGGTATGCGTTATTTCTGATAATTTGTATATTGCTCCCATTAGTTTGCGTTGAAGTTTTATTTTTTCTGTTTGCAGATGTAGTCATATTATGTCAACTATTATCTTTCTAACAGATATTCGTTATCTTGATGCGTACTATGGCTTGACAGGTGTAGATTTTATTCGAGATTGCTACTTATAGTGTTTGCGTCTTTTTCCTCTTACAGGAGTTTGTGCATAGTTCTCAGCTCCTAATAGTCATTCGCTCGAGACGTATAAGATCACTGAATAAATGCGAACAAGCGCCACTGATTGTGTTACTACAATCATTAAATGATTCTGACAAAATCCAATATTCTCTAATATCATGGTGCTCTTATGTGTGTCTACTAGATATTGCTACGAAAGTGGTAATGTAGATGACCTCCAGGTATTTCCTATCTTTTCTCGATATCAGCAAGCTATTCTTGAGTGATCACATTTTATGCTTGTTTACTCTCTCAATATGGCGTCGCGATTCGTCGTTCTCTTTCGCACTTGAGTTGATTCAGTTTTCATTGTTTCCAAGTAGCACTCGTGAATTTTACATTTAGTTCTTTGTCGACTGGTCTGCTATATTTAGGGAAGCATTTGCATTATCATTGTTATTTTGATTATTGATATCATTGTTATTGTTGCTGTAGACTTCATCATCATTTTTGTTACTGTTTTTATTGTTAGTAGTAGAATTGTCATTTCCATTCTCATGTCATTATTGTTATATTATTATCGTTATCATCCTCACTATCGTATTCGCAATGATATCTGTTTAATAGCATAATGTATAATCGTGTATAATTGTAGTTCTATCAGCCATTCGCTATATCACCGTACTATATTAGTCACCCGTTCTCCAGTCTGGATAATTGTATCCCAAGACCAGGAGCAACTTCTCAAAACACCGCCTGTCTTCCTAAAGCATCAAGAGTTGATTTGTGTCTGCTTGATTAGATGTTCCTTCAAACAAGCAACGGAATATTGCCCAACCTGTCTGCAGTTTTGTCCACTCATTTACGTTCAAGGGTTACCTAGGATGAGGACGGCTACGCTGTACTTTTTAAGTGATTTTGTCATTGCATTAACTGTGTGATAAATAGTTGACTTTTAATAGTGTAAAAACAGTGGAATAGTAATAGTCTTCATTAATGCAGATAGTATTAACAACAGTTTTCATTAAATTACTAAGAGTTACAGCGGCTTTAATAGTCATTTAAGCAGGAATAGTAGTTGTATAGCAGGAGTGGATCCTGAGGCCAATTCTTTCCACGCACGGCGAGCTGATTGTCACGAGAACAACCAAGGCGTTACACAGTGTCATGAAAGCGGCGTCGGCTGGCAGTTCGCTCCTCCGGTCTGCTCTGCCACGCCTGGGGGACTGAACTGCCTCCCTCTGGGGAAAACTGTCCGGTAATATCTGTGACCTAGGTTAAAGGCCAAATGGAGGCGTAAATATATGTGAAGATAAGAGGCCATTAGGAATAAGAACATATATAGTAACATCAGAAATGGCAGTAGCAGTGTGGACCGTCTCTTTGCACCCGAAGAGCCGGGGTTGGAGGCCAGCGAGCCAGAGCGGCCGCAAGAACATGAAAGAGGAAGAAAAAGCGGAGACGAAATGGCCAGCGAGAAACTATAGCACAGTTTTAAGATCGCTGTTCTGAAAAAAGTCATAACATTACAGTTCAAAAATTTAAAAGTAGTACAAATAAAGATAAAAGTGTAATTTCCACCCAAGGACGTGTCGTGATATTAGGGGATGATAAGCAAGGATGTCAAAATAACATTTGCATAATGGTGATTTTGAGAAAATAATAATGATAATTAAAAGAAATAATAAGAATGGCAATAATAAGAAAACAAAACAGCACAAAGCCAGCTATTATGAATAAACATCTTAAGACTGAATATGATTAATATAAAATAGAGATCTGAGAGAACCTGTAACCTGAAAGAAAATTCACAATGAAGTTTTGCTTAAGTCTTTCGAAGCCGACAAAAGGAAGCCTCCCTGTGGTGGCGAAGAGAGAATTTGGGGAATGTGAGAACGTGAAAAGGGAAAACCTACTCAGACCATGGATGGAATGCACGTGTAGCCAATGGGACTTTCCGTGTTTGGAAGTAGTAGTAAGTGGACAGAAGGATGCAAGATGTTAAGACATTATAATCAAACTAGGCAGCATCATATTCCTGAGGAATGTCCTCACAAAAGGTGAATAGCTATCAATAAATAACGATAATAATGGTAATAATGTTGATAAATGAGAACCGGGATGTGTATGCTGTAGTAGTTATTATTAGGAGAAAAGTATGATCAAGGATATTTTTGGAAAATTAAAAGGATGGCCACGGAGCACCACTGTTGCTTCTCTATGACTACATGTCCTCGACTTTGCCCAAGACAAGTCGTCTGGGAGGAGCAGGGTTTCCTCCGTTAAGCATGGAGAACCCCGCCAAGCTGAAACTACTCCCCAGCTCAATCCACCCCGATAAGAGCGTGACATGGTCCCACAGCGACATCGGCCGCGGGAGAGCCCCCATATTTTCCCGAAGACATTGCCAAGTTACGTACAACATGCCCTCAGATACTTTGAACAAATCTTCGCACATTAAGAAAGAAAACTGAAACCTCTTTCGAAAAGGGTCTGGACCCTTTGGCAAAATAGGGATATAGAAGGGAAATAGAAGCAGCGGAAGGGACGCCATAAAGGACCTAATGCATGCATTAGGGATGAAATAATCAGAATAAACAGATCTTGACGAGGGCGCCACGAGGTTGCCAGCTTCACGTCGAATTTTCCTCGCGGCCTTGCCAGCCTGTTGGAACAATCGCCGGCGGTTCTCTGCGACGATGGCGTCAGCGGAGGGCTGTGCCACGGGGGAAGGCTTCGCGGGAGCGGGGCGGTCCTCCTGGACGACGAAGTCCATAACGTACATCTGAGCCGCGAATTCCACGTCATCCTCCAGGTCGGACGAGGCCGGCGAGTCGACAGAACTCCCGCTAGAGTAACCGTCGGTTGAGGAGACAGAGTCAGCGACTGAACTCAGGCTTTCGCTAGCGTAATCGTCCGTTGATGAGGCAGAGTCAGCAGACGATTCGCTGCTGCAGTCCATGGCGCCGCTACGGCTGTCCTCGGCGCTCATAGAGCCTACCTGGGGCACAACGCCCTCGGACACGCTTTCTACCTCCTAGAGACGGCTTTAACATGTGATGCACATTGGACAAAAATAGTGATGACAATTAATGTTAAATTCAAGAAAGTAATGTTTATCGTAAAGTTGAGGCAAGTCATCCGAGCTGTGAACATACCCATGACTATTAGGAGGGATAAGTATTTGTTACAACCCACAAAATGTACATAACTTATAAAGCGTGGAAAGAAAGCAAGTGAAATCGGCAAAAAAAAATGCACAGCAGAAAAAGGAAGACTAAAACAACAATTGAAACCTTGTTATCAGGCTAAAAATTGCAGTTTTTCTGCATAGTTGCTGCATGATGTAGTGTAAGAATCAGGGGCATCAGAATGGTAACCAATGGGATTATAACATTGAAGGCAAACATCGGCACGAAGTCGAATCCTACGACTTCGGAAAGCGTGTCATACAAAACTTAGGGCATGGTATTTTTGTCTTAATTCTGTGCAGCATAACGAAGACATGAGTTGCATAATACTTCTGATTGCCCAAGGTCATCTCGCGAATGCACGGGAGAGTTAGTGTTGCATGAGATGCCCTCCCCTGGTATAGATCACCCAGTCTTGTTCTTATTCTTAGCAGATCTTACAGAGCTGAACTGAATCCTCATTACTGAACGGTTAGCGTGGCGGGCGGAATCTAGTGCCTCTGTATGGGAAGAGGACTTTGAACTGTCAGCTTGAACGGAAGATTGATATGATTTTATAAATTTAGGAGTATGATTAATATATTCCTGCATTAAGCAATAGTAGTGAAATAGGCAAACTAAGGCGCTGCAATAGTAACGTGTGGTTATTGCATTGGTAGCAGTAATAAATATATATCGTTATTTCTGAAACGCAATGAGGTTATTATTTTCGCCATCAGTTAAATGTGGGCAAAAGTTAAAAAAAAAAAAAAAAAAATTATCCAGCAGTTATTTTTATTGTCAAGATTGGAAATGTGTTGTGGAAGAGAGACTGCAAAACAGGTGCGATTTCTGATTAAGCTTCTCATATGAACTTCTTTCTACACCTAGGTTTGCCGTCGCGGCCTGAGCCTCAGCCTCTTGTGTGGGTTCTGGGCGTGGTTGTGGGCGTGGTGGTGGCGGTGGTTGGGCTGATGATGGGACTCTGGTGGACCAAAGGGCGTCGCTCATCCCACACACTCAGAAACACTGAGGACGACGTTACGAAACTGAAAAACCAGGATCTCACGGGTAAGCGAAAGCTGTAAATATGTTTCTTTGTGTTTGCATACGTGTGTTAATGGCGAAAAGTCATTTGTGAGTGACAATTATCAAATAAGATAGCGATATAATTTAGTTACCGATTGTCATTTTTATAATTACCAGAACAGTTTGATATACCCCCAGCGTGTGTCTTTTCCTCCCGCTTTCCCTTCACACATACCCACCTCAGTGCCCTCATGGGTTCATTATCGGACAGCCACCAATATACATGTATTTTTAACTGTGGTGACATAGCATGCGTGTCTCTCTCCCTCCCCAGGTGACCTGCGAGGCCAGACTGACGGCCTCTGCATGAACGGGGTAGTTCAGCACACGATTTACGACGCCTCGGGACGCTACAAGGGCTTCGGTCACCTGCAGCAGGTATGTGGCGCGGTGCGGGGCGCATTTCCGACCGACGGCTGTGAAAGCTGGGACTGCATTGCGCGGGAGAAAGAGGCTGGAGTGTGTATGTGTTTGTGTGCACTTTTATGTGGACGTGTTTGCGCACGTAGGGAGGGAGGGAGGAAAGGGATACCTTTGTTTGCGTGTCCTTGTATGGGTATTTTTGGATATGCGTGC